ATTAAAACAAGAGAGCTAGTCTCTAAAACAGACATGGCTATAGCTTGATGCTAACATGTTTGTTAGCTGTCAGAATTCTGAGAAAAAAGTCACAATTCTGACTTTTTTCCCATATTAAACTGAAATAAAATTTAAAAATCAGTTAACTTTTTTTTCAGTGGCCCTAATCCTCTTCTGTATCAACCAGTAAAGGTCCGAGAGACATTTTTAATTATAAGAAATGATAATAAAAAAATCTAAAGGGTTTTTTTTGAAGTAGAGAACAACAATCTTTCAGTTCGGTATACAGACAGTTCCTGATTCCCATATTTTCTAAAACACCTGAACTGAGCGTTTGTTATTCTTTTTTCTGTCTTAATGTTGGCAGTGGGCTTTAGGCTTTAAACCTGGGTTTGAATGGAGACTAAGCCATTCTCAACAAGGGCGTAGTTTTGATTCCAGCTTTGGTAGGGACACTATTGGTCTCCAGTTTCATTGGTCTGATGTCATTGGTCACGTACAAAAATATGAATGCTCTTTATTTATGCTTCATATGAGCATCAGGACACATTTTGTTTAAAAAGAACAGCAGCATTTCTTCTACATCAATACTAATCTTATAAGAACTACACTCATTAGATGCTGTTTATCAATGTTTAAAGCATAACTGGCTCTGATGAATGTGGAATTAGGACTTTTTTCCACTTCGAAAAGGTTTGCATTTAAACTAACCAACAACTAAGACAGAAGGTAAATACATGCTTATTTAACCAAATATAATCTAAATATGCCTGTTATATGTGGATTAATCCTGTGTTTTCTTTTAAAGATATAGAATTGTGCACAAGTAAACAGAGGTAAATCCCACTCTTTTTTTATCTAATATGCTCTCTCTGTATCATGCAAAATAATACTGTAAAATAATTAATCAATTACTAAATTAATTATCGATTATTTAAACAATCATCAACTAATTTAGTACGGTAATTGATTTATCGTTATTTGGAGTATAGGGCCACTAAAACGTGCCTTTAGCCGACTGAGCGACCCACTTAGAGCAGGAATTATACCAA